AAAACGCGCTCAATGGAGTCAGGAAATAAACATTCATGCCTATTATTTGTTTATTTGTTCACGATTTATGAGTGAGATAAATAGTAAATGTTACTTCTAACAGTGACAAGTATTTCTAATGAGTAATGAAACCAGCACACGAGGAATAGGGAGCTTAAGCAACAACGTTTTTGAGCGACGCACGTCAACCGGAAGTGGCCTTTTTTCATTTTTTGACGGTGGTTTCGCGCAAAGTTTTAGTCAAATCGCCTCTATAACAGTAAAGAAGCTGAGGAATACAAATTTTATATCATCAAGGCATGTTGAGAGGGAAAATACCTCACTTCCGGTTGACGTGCGTCGCTCAAAAACGTTGCTGCTTAAGCTCCCTAATGTAAGTGCTGAAACCTACATGAGCTTATGTGGCGCAAAATATCGTTCACGCATGCCCAGGAATCGAATCACCATCTTAGATGTGAAAGTAATCACTACTCTTGCAATTGCGAGCTTTTAAGTAAAATAGGCAGGTTTAATATCTCTCATTAACACTGAATTGACCCTGCAGTATCAACCTATTCCAGGAGCTAGAGTCCGCGGTTCATAGGTCAGACGGCTATACCATGCTGATGAGCCCCAATAAGGTGGCCCCTGGATTGAGACAGCTGTAGCTTGTACACAGACGTTGTTTTATTTTTCTTTTCGTTCTTTTCGAAGACATCGGCGAGCGCGCGTCTATTTTTTTCTTCCCCGTCCCCACCCTCTTGCGCTGGCGGTCAGTAATTCCCTTGCGGTTTTTGTTTTTTATCACGCGCGCTCGACAGACTTTGAAGAGAAAATAGAGGGTTTGTGAACAGGCTAAGACAGCTGTCTTTGTCTACCAACACCTGGGTGATATGGCTGTGCGCATGCGTTAGGTACTCAGACCGTGGGTTTGTCTATGTGTGCCAATTTCTGATACGTTTGCTATAATCGGGGTAGGAGAACGCAACTGGATACTTTAACTTCTGATTTTTCCAGTTATGGGATTGGTTCCATCGAAATAATTGCGCCATCGCGTGTGATACCCGCTCGCAATTTTGATGAGGGCGCCCCACAAAGAATAAACAAACAAAAAGGTGTTGGAAATTACCTTCATGGGAGGCGAATAAATTCCTTTTTCTGTCATTATTTTCAGGAGAACCTTAAGTAGCGACGTTTTTAAACGACGCACGTCAACCGGACGTGGACCTTTTGCACTCTTGAGCCGTCATTTTGAGCAAATTTTGGGACAAATCGTCTCTTTAAGAGTAAAGACACTTAGCAATACAAATTTGTTAGCGCCAAGGCATATTAAATGAGAAAAAGGCTCACCTCTGGTTGACGTGGGTCGCTCAAACACGTCCCTGATTAAACTTCCTAAAGACTCCGAATGTGAGGACTGTGAATGGGACTCCGATTATGGTAATCACCAATGTGCGATTGTTATTTCGATTGGTATGAAGGGCACAGGGGCGTGATTTTGGAATAAGAATTAAGGGAAATATGGTGACGTTCATCCCTGAAGGTTTGACAACTAGGTGTAAAAAGAGTACAAGGCAAGAATTGATTTAGGAGAGTTCTCCCTGCTGTGGTTTCGTGTGGAGAGGATGTAAAAAAAGTCCAGTTTCCAGAACGTGTTTTTCTCTCACATGTTTTTGCATCTCGTTTTCCTAATCTCTTCTTTCTGAAAAATATTGACGGGTTTTTCCCTTCTGTCCGCCATTAGGGACCTTACGATCCGAGGACAGCGACGGCAGCAAAAACGTCGTTGAAAATATTTGCGTTCTTTCAATCTTCATCACGATTACTCCAAGTCACTAACTTGGTCAAATGTAGGTGAACCCTCCGTCTTTCCTCCGTTTCATATAGAAGTTCAGAAAGAGGAGGAAATTTCGTCGTCGCTTGTATACTTCCTCTGTAAAACGTGAAATTAGCAGTTGTGTAGAAGCTGCTCGTAAGGTCTCTCCTGATTGGTCGCAGAAAACAATGACATGTCATTCTTTCAATTGTTTCGGTATTGCTTGGGGTCAGAGTTAGGCAGCATTGCTGACTTCTCTTTAGAGCAGCCGCTACATGACCAAAATTAAGGCATTTTCACGTCGTAGTCGTGCAGCGACGGCAAACAATTGTACAAAAAAGCGTGATGCACGTGTAAAATTGTTGTTTTGGTTATTAAACCTATTGCTTTTTGACGTTCTCGTTGACGTCGCGGTCGTCGGTTCCTATTACTGCGGCTTGTCACCGGAAGCTGAGCTGTAATACAAAGAAGTAAGAGTACTAGATCTGGAGAGGATGTAGATTAAGGAACGTTCGGTTGACTATAGTCGTATATTTTCTCATAAAACAAACAAATATTAGAAAGCACTTTCATTTAATTAGTGAGCACTATAAAATGTGTATTTACACACTGAAGTAATAAAAAATACCAGTGGGTAATGGAAACATCAAACTGAAAACAGGCAAACCAATTCATTCTTCTAACTACCATATCGGCAGTTAGCTAGAGGCGGTTTATTTCACAAAAACAGACCTTATTCACGATTTTATCAACATACCCGTCATCATTGAAAGCCCTTTAGATTGATGAGATAACAGGAGTGTCACGTAGTATTTCAAGGAGTAAAAAAAAGGAAAAAGTTGCCAATACGACTGAAAGAGGTCGAGTTTGTTTATTCTCTCAAAATGAAATAATAATTTAATGGTCGTGCAAAATGCACGGTTCGAGTTTCGAGAAGTTTTAACGTCATTCTTGCTTGCTGTGAGGACATCTACAGCGGCAGGTTCAAAACGCAAATCACAGGTCATGAGTGCAGGTTCGAGTACAGGTCAACATGCTACGGTAAATAAACAACACTTAAAGTGTCTCCTAGCCCTAATCACAACCTGAAATAGAGTTTTAGCTTAAGGGAAAACTGCCTACCTCCGTTATTAATCAGTACAGCAGCGTCCTGCACTTGTGACCTGTGACCTGTGTTCTGCACCTGCCACATCTACAGTCGCTACTGCATCCAAAAAGTAAGAATGATCACTTTCATCCATAATCTGCCATTATCGTCAACGACCGATGAACGTACAAACAGGGACTTCCTTCCGACTCTTAAGCGACAATTTATTCTTGAATCAGCCAGCAAAGGAAATTTTCCCGCTTCCTTGTTTTTGGTATTGTTTACAGTGCATATGGAATATAGTGCGACTCACGGAGTACACAGTACCAGCAATACATCCAGTCATAATGTAAAGTTTCTAGTTTTTCTTTTTTAACTTGTAGTCTTTGTTCCTCTTCATGTTTAGCTGTGATATCGTCGAGTCGCTTCGTCCAGTTGTCGTAAAACTCCTGAACTTCTTGCATCAGCGAGTCCATCATGTCCAGATTCCTTTTTGCCGTTGCGTACCCAGGCCCAACCGACAAGTTCGAGTTCATCTGCAAGGACTTCTGCAATGAGAACAAACCCAAGCTATAGTGTTCTGATGGCATAAATGGAGAAAAAAGCCTTTTTAGTTGGGAGGCGGGGAGGTAGGAGTAGTACACAGAATTCGCCCCTTTATAAACGAGAAGGAAAAGCGTTTTGAACGTCTGGAACTGGCTAAAAGGAAACTGAGCCGAGTTTACTTTCGCTAACACTTCTGGGATCGTAGCTATTGGCCACTCCGGTAACAGTCCCAGAAGTCTTTGTTAAAGTTAACTCGACCCAGCTGCCTTCTCGTTTCTAAATTATGCATGTTTACGTCAAACTAGCAAATTTTACCGCCAAGCCTCGTTTCGAAAATCTTCTAGCCTGTTCCAGGCATTCAGATGGTAGAGCGCGGGGGTCAGTGGGGAGCGAGTTAAATTGTACACAGGGAAAACTGGGAGGGGGGGAGAACAGGGGGGGGAGGTGAGAGCGAGAGAAACCTTTCCCCCTCTAGTCTGCCCTCGTTTTTTCTTTTTTTCTTCGTGAATTTTTCTCCCGCGCTCTACTATCTGAACGCCTGGAACAGGCTAAAAATCTTGCCATTGGTCAAGTTCTTTTCAGATCTGCACGCACCTTCGTCAACGCCGTCGAATTTTCATTCCTTAATGTCACTTTTAGGAGTCCAAAAAAACTATTCTGGAGTGACTAATAGGCCCGTCGCGCGCGTGCAGGCAAAGAAAGTTGTAAGTGAGGCGAAAAAAGAAGGTAAAAATTACCATAAATAAAAAGACACGTGATTGATGTTTTTATAGGTCTCGTGGGTGTTGTAATCAGTTGGTCTTGAGGTTGACGGGGGCGTGACTGATTTTCGTGACAGTTGGCGCGAAGGATCACGTGGCCATTTTCCTAACTACTTAGATGGTTTAGGATGCGTTACTTACGTCATTGATGACGTTAGCATGACGTCAACGGTCATACCATTTAACGCCGAATGTGGTCACGCTTAAAAGTTCAAATGTAACTCCAAACGTTATTACATTTAATACTTTATTACATTTAGGGTGAAATGTTATTACATTTAAGATTTTGTTGCATTTAGGGTCAGTTATTAAGTTTAGGCTTTCTACAGATGTTACATACATGAATTCTCACTATAGTTATTTTGAAAAGAATACCCATGTACAAAAGTGCAAATGCAAAGAATTTTGTTCACAAACTAGCCTTGGTGATGAAATTTGCTCGGCTGACGTAAACACACATAATGGCCATTGTGACTTTAAAGCCTCCTCGTGCGCGCAAAGGAAGGCGGGAAGGAGAAAACGGGCCTTGCGCCTCGTCACCAATCACTCGCGTGTCACACGCGTTTCGCGCTCGCCTCTGTGCGAAAAACGAAGCGTCTGAGGAAGAAACAGACTTTAGAGGTTGTGAAAGAAATGACATAGGGTGGTATTCAGGCGCGGGTACTTGAAAAAAGGTGTCTTCACATTAGGACCCATTGAGTACCTTACTTGGCCACCGTCCAGGGGAGTAAATGTGAACATGACCTAAGCCTTTCGTCTTACCCATCTCTGCCTTTTTCTTCCAGTGTCTTATGTAGTCGTAGTCCCGGATAATGCCACAAGCCGACAAAAACAGCAGCAAGCCAATGCAGGTGTAAATGGAGTTATGGAACATAGGAGAGTTGGCGTAAAATAAGCTGGATGAGCGCTCCACGGCTGCACTCTCTGATGGCTCCTACGAATAACAAGAAAAACGAAATAATATATTTATTGAAGTCAATGACATCAGTAGTTTGTCCATTATCTTTCCCAGACTCCGTCGTTTCTTTAGGCCACATGATCTCCATCGCTACAAATTAAGCTGAGTGGCTCTGGGAACGAAAATGTAGTTAGTCTATTCTCGTCCAAAGACCCCTTTGTTTCTTTTGATCACGTGGTCTCGTTTGTTATAAATTAAGCTGAAAGGCTCTGGGGATGAGAATGTAGTTTGTCTGGTGAAATCGTTCGTTAAAAGTGGTTTTGTTGATGGATGAATAAAGTGTCGCAGGAGCCCATAACCCGGAGCGAGAAACTTCCCAGCGCTCGTGTCACGGCGTTTTTCACAGACCAGTTTATTTTTAGAACGCTTTTGCCGCGAATTTTGATTGTCATTTAAATTTCACAAACCAGTCAGGAAAACCTACAGACCTAAAAATGATGTTTTTGCCTTTTAATAACGTTTAGTTTTCCTTTCTGATATCTCATACTTCGAATGCGCTTATAGACATGGTGGAGATTCTATTTTATCGGGAAAAAGTTCCATAAAATGTGTCTAAAAATATACTGGACCATAAAAACCCAGTGACATAGGCCTAGTATGAGAGATGATCGTCCATGTGAGTTTAGCCCTTCAAAAGACTGTAATTGGTGATAGATGTGTGAACCCAAAAGTATCAGTAATTTATCTAATGTAATCGTGATCGTCCATGTGAGTGTGGTCCTTAAAACGACTGTTGTTGGCGACTGATCAGTGTGAACCGAATCAGTGCAAAGTTAGTGTCTAATGTCATATTCTATGTGAGTGAAGTTTGCTCTTGTGACAGAAGTGTGAACGCAATTGTTAATTGTCTTTTTGGGTGAAATATCCATGTGGGTGTTGACCTTAGTATTTTGTGAAGTCTAATCCTCGAAGAAATCAAAATGACCATGAAGTTACCCACCGCGTTTTACTCATTAACGGGGTCATCAATTAAAACACTGAGGATTTCCGAAAAGACTTACCTCCATTGGCTTAGAATTGGCTTTTATTATTTCGAAGATTTCAGTCCTCCAAGCAGTTTTGAAAGGTCTTTTCTGACAATCGTCCCTCTCCAAATACAATCCCATAGTATGAGTTATGATCGATGACTTTGTTTACTTGTAGCTCTTCGCCAGAGAATTCCTTCATTTCTCCAGGACGTACGTGTCCACCAGAACACCTTTGAATTGTCGCTCTTTCAGAGGGCCCACAATAGACGCCAAGTTATTGTATGCTGCGTGAAAAATAAATCAACTCAATGAAAGATTTGTTATTCGTCGTAGTTTGATCTTTGAGTTTTCTTGCTAAGGCCCCATTAGTATGGAGAAAACTTGTCCCTGGTAACGGGAAAGTAGAACTACTCTCTGTTTTCTGCAACACCTTTTCGCAACCTGCAACAACCTAATTTGTTGCAAGGCAGGTTTGAACGTGGGTGGTAAAACGCGATTTGTTTTGCAGCAATATGTTGCAAAACAAGTTCCCCGTTTCTTTGTCCATTTTACTACATCTTAACCCTGTGGTGAACTTAGTCGTAGTGCATCCAGGGCTGAGGTGTTCCATGATGACGAAATCCAACATAATTTTGTGGTTAATGCAGTGCCGGTAGGAGGAATCGCTCCATATTTGAGAAACGTGATTTAATTCTTTGGGATTTACGGTAGTGGACTAACATAATTCGGTGGGTGCCTTGGTTGGTTAGCATATCCTTCAGACATACAAAAACCTTTTTCATTCTTCGTCCAGAAAATGTTTGTTTGATAACGAGATAATAAAGCATTGTACTCACCCAATGGTTGTCGTGGCAACAAATGCCCACCTAAAACCTTCTCCACTCCCTTTAATGAACGACCTAGGAAATTCGTCAGGATTGTACCACGTGTCCTAAAAAATAACGCATTATGGTGATTTTAAAGAAGTTTTGGTTGCTTTACCCGTGCTAGAGCCACCGTTTGTTGGTTCTTTATTGGGTGCTTCCGTAACAAAGTGATCTATTGAAACTTAAAATTACGAAGTAACTTAAAATAATTAAAGAGATTTTGTAATGAGAACTTATCCGTTCCTGATATGAACTGCGTGTCCCGTTTAAAAAAATAAATTGTTGCTAAATAATAAGAACAACGCCTTCTTAAGCTTCCATAAAACTGAGGGGAACTAAAACGTGCAACCTTTTTTGCAACATTGCTGCAGAACAAGTTGAAAAGCGATGTTGCGCCTTGTACCACCCCGGTTCAAACCTGTTAACAACCCGATTTGTTGCAAGACAGGTTTTATGTGGGTGGTAAAACGCGCAACATCGCTATTCAACTCGTTTTGCAGCATTGTTGCATGGCAAGTTGCATGTTTTTTGTCGCCAGTTTTTCTGTAGCTTAAGTTTGATACGTTGCAAATCCACCTCTCTTACTCAGCCAGCGGGGATTTTAAAGAGAGGACCTTCGAAGGCCTCTGTTCGCTGAGAGCTACAGGAAGCTAGTCTCTGAGCTACAGGAAGCTATAGCCTGTTCCAATCTCCAAGATAGCAATATAGAGTCGCGCAGTAAAAAAATGAGACAGAAAACTCGCAGAGGCGGAGGAGAGATAGAGTGATCCCTTCCCCAAATCGCGCGCGTCTTGTTTGCGCTTGGATTGTTTTACTCTCGCGACGTTCCTACTATCTGAGAGCCTGGCACACTCTTACCCAGGGAACACTCGTTCACTACTTACCAGTCCCCACATAATGATACCGGACAGCAACGCCATCAGTAATGTAAGTACCAACACAGGCCACCCAGATAGAACGGAGGGTTTGGTGAGGTATACGTACCGGGTGGTTTATCAACACCAATGAATGCGACACCCGGGGATCCTACCAGAGGCATTAACTTGTAGGAAGTCTGATAGTAGCGATCGGCATTTTCACCACTGATTGGAAACGTGATGGTATCAATTTGATCCAGGTTTTGACTGTCATTGATGACAACCTGTCTTAAACGTAACAGGAGAAAATGTGTAAGAGTACAAACCAGAGAGGAATGCCGGCCATGTACAGTTGAGTGAGAGTGTGAAAAACGACACAATAACGAGCTGGTAAAAAAGGAATGTAGATTCCTTCCAATTAGGGGTTAAACCTAAAGGCTGTTTACATGAAGGGGAGAGGATCCTTGCACCAGAAAGATCCTAGAGCGCGGATCATCCTTGCACCTTTGACTTTTTTTTAATTTTACCTGCAAAGGGTTACAATTGTCCCGAGCACTTCCTGGTACTGGGATCTTTTTAGCTGAGAGATAGGAAGGAAGATCGGTCCCCTAAGCCCTAAGTGAGAAGTAAGTGTTAGCGTTGGCTTGGGGGAGGAGTAGGTGGACAGTTTCCTAGAAACGTATGACGATCCGGAAGATCTTATTACTAAGCACAAACCAAACATCAAAGGTGGCGGGTCGCGCGTGAACGTAAAAGTCGAGCCAGGTTCAACTTTAGGCTGATTTAGCAGTAGAACGGGAACGTCATTTGACGACGGGAAAGGGCGCGAAGGGACTAAACGCGACTTCCGGTAATAGGTAATAGGAAGTCGCTCTGTCATTAGTCAAGCCAGTTGTTTATTTGCGCGTGTAGTAGTCAACTGAAGTTCCCGTTCTGTTGCTAGGGAGCTTAAGCAACGACGACGGCGACGGCAACGAGGAAGGCAAAAAAGCAATAGGGTTAGATTGACAAAGCAAAAACTTTTCACGTGCATCATGCTTTTTTGTACATTTCTTAGCCGTCGTTGCACGACTACAACTTGAAAGTGCTTAATTTCACGTTTTGTCGAGGACAGGAACACAAGACAACACCTTTCCTTTTCTTTTCCTGAACTTTGATACGATCCTATAGAATTCAACTCCCAGACAATTTTCCAACATTTGACGCATTAAACGAGATGAAATAAGCGCGATGAAGTTTGAGGCAGCGCGAATTCACTTTTAAGTGACCTTCTCGTAGCCGTCGTCGCCATAACTGCTTAAGCTCCCTGCTAAATAAGCCTATACATTAAGCGCGACCTTTTATACGTTGCTTCTATTTTTTTCACGCTCTTAAAATTTACGTGGATACGCTCGTAAATCTACGCGACAGTAGAAATCCACCTTAGAAGAGAACTAAGAACTGCAAAGTCCTCTTTATCTGTTAAGTGTTTTTTAAAATACCTTTACCAGTGTTTCTTGCTCTTGGAATAAGAGATCCCAGACTCCCCGTCACCACCTGTGCAATTTCCACAGCCTTGTTCAGGAATTTTCCCGAGCAATAACGGGAACAGTAGTCCCGAGGATCTCGCCCGGGATGGTTCTCTACGTAGGGTGGGATATCGTACCAGTTGGCGAGGATTATTTTTGGGCAGTTGCACTTTTCTGAAAGTCAAACAAAGTTACACAGTTAGCTTTCATCATAAAAGTTTAGCACACACACCTAAGTTAGTTAAGCGTCAGGGGATTGAGCACGTAAGAATTAATAAAGGACACTTATTATCTAGCCTTTGCACAGACCCTCCCCTCTCCTCAGTAAAAATAGGAGCAGGGGCCTCTTCTCCGATTTTTTCTGAGGGGAGGTGGGGGGGGTCTGTACACAGGCTATTATTATCTTTTCCCATGTAAGGGAACCCGAATTTTTGCTTAATCCGAAATCTGGGGAAATTTTGCAGGGCTTTGTAATCCGGAATACAGCTCAAGGAATCCAGAATCTAAGTTCCACTGACTGGAGAGACTGGAATCCGGCGCCTGGAATGCGGAATCCACGGCGTGGAATCCCGAATTCAGGACTGTGTTGGAATTCCCTGATGGGGCGAGACCTCCATATCTGCATGATCATTTGAGCTACGAAAATACCTGTCCGTTTGAGTCGAACGATTTTCGGATGCCCTTGAAAAATGGTTTCGGTAAGTGTTCGTTAGTTGTTTTATCAGCCAATGGATGAAAAGATCAAAACATGGCCTCTTCGTTTTCCCGCCAAAGAAAACCCTAATATGGAGAAAGCATTGTTCGATTGGCCAATCGTGTTGCAGTATGACGTCAAAGCGAAGTATCGTTTGATTTCTAGAAAGTTCTCTGGCGTTCGCTTAACCAACCAAAAGCCACGCGCGTTTGTATTCGTTCAAATCGCTCTATTTCCGTTCGTTTGTTGTTTCTGTTTTGTTCGCGCGTTTTCATTTCAAGGTGAAACGAAAATCGCCTTAATGGGTAAAGGCACTTATTACTGAGTTTGACACAGAATTCACCTAAAACATCAATATCCTCGTGGCATAGTCCCTTTAAGACTAGAACTGCCAGTCGCGACTTGCGCGCAATCTCATGCAAATATAGGCGCGGCGGTGAGATGGGCTCGAATCCCGGGTTCGTCGTCACATGTGGGTTGAGGTTCCTATTGGTTATTTCCCTTGCTCCGGAAGGTTTTTCTCAGAGTTCTCCGGATTTCTACTCTCCTTATAAACAACACTACCGAATTCCAGTTCAGTTCGCAATGGACCCAGGAACAACCGTAGCTTAAAAACTCTTTTCTTCCTTCCTCGAAGTAAACAAAAGACATTAACATTTGCTTCTCCTTCCCGCCCTTGTTACTGGCCATAAGCGCTTACCGCTATTTCTTTGACTTCATCCTTTATCCTCACTGAAAAAAACTAAATACAAGGCCAAACGTCGAACTTTTCAAGAGACGAACCAAATTGTGATTACAGTATATTTGGGTCTACATGATATATTTAAATTCGTCTATTAGGTCAGATGTCGAACTAATGAAGCGTCGAACCAATCATACTTTACCATTTGAATCAGATAGGGTCAAACGTCGAACTTTTTACGAACTTAATTCGCCCAGTTTGGTTTTTCCTATGAAAAGTTCGACGTTTGGCACTTGCCTAAGAAGATCCCCTGCGTTCAGCGTCCTTTGCCGCTTACCTTTACGATTGACCTGCACGCATCCAAACCTCTTATTTCATTGGTCCCTATAACCTGCACTACCTATTGTTTCAGGGATAGGGGCATTGTAATGTCACCATACCTATTGCTTTCCCAGCCAATCACAAACCTTCTTTGCAATAGGTGCAGGTCAGTCCTACCTTTATCGCGCAGATACATCAATGCAGATGATG